ATACGTTTGCTAGCCACCATTCTGTCAGGTTTTACAACAATTGCTTTTGAGCTGTTAAGTATGCGGTTCTTTAGTCAAGGATCACTGCTTTTGTGCACACACTTCCTGTTGGGTGACATTGAACCATTACATGCAGATACTGATTATTCAGAAAACACACAAAACCATATAGATAGGTCCGCCCCATAAAGCCATTTTACATTTATACGGTGGAATGTTCCCTTTTAATCTGTTGTCAAAACTAAGTCTCTCTCTGCTTTTGCTGCAACCCTCCTCTGGGGAGGGAGGGGGGTTAGTAGCAAAGGCCTGATGATAAGGCCTTTTGGAGTAATGTTGGCCACTGGGTAGCAAAAATGGGAGCTGTTTGAGGTGCTGGCAAAGAAATGGAAGACTCCAGCAGGGGAAAGAATGAGGAGTACTTGTGGCACCTTAGAGACTAATAAGAGCTGGTCTACACTTGGGGGAGGGGTGATCAATCTAAGATATGCAACTTCAGCTACGTGAATAGCGTAGCTGAAGTCGAAGTATCTTAGATCGACTTACCTGGGGTCCACATGGCGCGGGATCGACGGCCGCAGCTCTCCCGTCGACTCCGCTACCGCCGTTCGCTCCGGTGGAGTTCCGGAGTCGATGGGGAGCACGTTCGGGGATCGATATATTGCGTCTTAACGAGACGCGATATATCGATCCCCGATAAATCGATCACTACCCGCCGATACGGCGGGTAGTGAAGGCATACCCTAACAAATGTATTTGGGCAGCCGGGGGAGAGATTGGTCCCTCTATTGGAGAGCGATAAGAAGCATTGCTAGCTGAATGGCGTTACAATCCCATTAGCTCAAGTGCAATCACTTCAGCTCAATAGACTCACTGAGGCCCCGATCCTGCATGGTTGTAAGGTTACCCAGATGAGTAGTTCCACTAAAGTTAAAGTCCCTAGTTTAATCAATTTCATTTTCCAGCAGTAACAAAACACTGGGAACTATATTGTTACATGCCAATGTCTCACATTCTCCGTAGCAATCTCGAAATGCCACAGCTTTTGCTTGCAAGCATCTTTTTTTTTTTAATCTTGGATTTCTTCCCTTAGGATCTTTTCTCTTCTGTCTGGATTTGGCATTTTGGCCTCCCATACTTGACAGCCGCTTTCTAAGTCCAGGAATAGAGTTGTCCAGTTGTGACAGCCGCTGTCTTCACCAACATACCTTCCTACACAGTCTCATCAATCAAAAGGGAGGAAATGTGTGTTATTTTTGATAAATGGGCTCCAAGATTTGCTGATCGTGTTACAGGGAGGACCAGATTAACTTGGGTCTGAATGAAGTGACAAGGCATTGCAGTCCATTGTTTTTTAAAGGGCAGAGCTGTGCCGGAGAGCAAGGGGGTGTGTGAGGCTGCTTTTTACACCCAGACACAGACTAGCCATGTCCCAGGGTGAAGTGTAGGAAGGAGGGCAGTCTCTCCCGTGCAAGGGGATGGAGAGCGGGCAGAGTCTTGACTCCAGCCTCCAACACACTGGTCAGTGCAGCTGAGCGGGTGTGGGTGGGCAAGTCATCGGTACCAGATATAGGGCTGGCCAAGATCACGTCCCCTCTAGAGCAAATGGGGTGCAAATTACTGCCCTGCAGTACGGCCAACGCCATGTATTCAACCCCTGCAAAAACACACCACCACAAACACCATGTCAGCTCCCCCCTCCCCGCAAAAAAACCATGAGATTGGCTCAAA